ACTTACCTTCCACAGCAATTATTTTTAGTTAGCATATAGGTAAAACCTAACGATGGTTATTCAATAGCATCTGCATTCTGACGTGATAAGCTGTATGTTTTATATTCAATTAACGTATGATCTGATTAGTCGACTAATCGAATAAATAATCGGTGATTAATCGATTATTAAATTAGTCATCGATTATTTTAATAATCGATTAGTCGTCGATTAATCGTGGCAGCCCTAGCTGCGGACCTCGAGAACCGTAATTGACTGTCCCTGATCTAAATCATATTCATCTCTCTCTAGTCCTGGTCCAGTTTTCCTTTGGTCAAATACTTTTAATCCAAGTGTAAACAACTGTGTTAAATACAGTATTTGCTCATATATAATACAATCATCATTTTTTGATCTTACAAAGCATAAAAATCTAATTATCAATAACCTGTGAATAATACGATCCCCCCACTTTATGGATGATTCTTTTGGGTAACATTTCTAGTATTATARATGAATAAATACAGTAATTTTCATTTATTCAGAAGAAACACACTGATGTGCCAGTCCCGCATTGTCTTTTTATAATCACTTCAGTAGAAAAAAGAACTTAATATTAGTTTCTTAATTTCTTCATCATCAGTGATTTTTTTTAAGTAAAGASAAAATAGAGGGAAAAACAAAGAGAAAAGTAATTAGAAAGCTTGAAATAGATTAGAAGTGTATTAAATATACACCAAGAAAACACAGGATCAAACACCCAACATCAGTCCGCTCACCTAAAAATAAATGGATAAATACATGGATGGCATATACTGTATAAATATATACACATACCCATACATATATAAAGATAAGGTGTACATACATACATGCCTACATTCATACATATTGTAGATATATGCACACTCACTGACCAGTCAGAACCCCCCCGGATCAGAGCACCTGTTTGTGAGCAGTTGTGAACATGAGTGTATATACAAGATTTCTCCAATGGAATATTTAATAGTGACTGTGGAGGACCGGAGACCCAACCCCCAAGACACGAGGCAGACATAGGGAAGACCAGAGCCCAAGGGACCGAGAGGGATCCCAAGCGCAGAGCCCCAAGGGGCACCCGCARGGGAAGATCTGCCCACCCACCCCCCAGATCAGACCATAGGGGAGAACTGGGAAAGTTCCAGCCTGACAAATACCCAAACATACACAATCGCACCATCCCACCCTCATCCTCACCCCCACTCATTCAAAGACATACAAGGACGCCACATTTCACTCATACCCCGATACACTCTATACCCACCAGGTCCAGGACATGCACCCACCCTCTACTGGAGGCAGCACACACCTGAACCCAGGGGGTAGACCCAATCATTCTGGGGCGGAGAGGAACAGATAGCCAAGGCTCGGCCCGGGCCGTACCAGGTCTCCCGGCCAGCCCCCCGCCTCAGAGAAACCACGCCCACGACCACCCCACCACACTGCCAACGGCCAAGCGCACCCCACCAGCCAACCACCCACCGGAACCCGGGAGCCACCCCGGCCAGCGGGCCATCCACAGGAACCAAGAGCCACACCTCAGGAGACCAAGCAGCACCAGGGAGGARGGAGAGCCAGCCCCGCCCCTGGCAACCGTCCAAGCCCTGAGCCCACCCACAGCCCTGGACTGCACCCGGCGGCCCGCCCTTCTTCAGGACCCCCTCCCCAAATGGCAGTCGGGGAACGTGAGGGGAGTAAAGACCCTGGCACACACACCCCCACCCCCAGATGTACTGTTGGTGCGTGTTGTTCCAGTCCCGCATTGTCACCCCGCCACCCACCCTTGCCATTGCAAGTACACATCTGACAAGATGTGCTTCTGAAAAAAGCATTTTAAAATGTCTCCAAAATATGTCTGGTACTTTGGAGAAAATAGCATAGCTAATGTGCTGAATAAATCTCAACAAAATAAAAGTGGATTAAAAAAATTATCTATAAAGCTTGTTATATACTGGGACAAATTAAACTTTAATTAATGCATAATTTAAGTTGGTCTGTAGTTTGAGATATTTATATTAATATGTGTGTTATACTGTACAGCAGCATTAAAGTGGCTGTGTCATGCATATCCATGAAATTATCAATGTTATCTTTCCAAAAATACATTCATATTATAAAAAAATGATGTCATAGTAAGTAGTTTAATAGTCAATTTATTTTATTTTAAAAAATTGATTTTGTTAGTCTACATTATTATATTTAAAATTATAATTCCAATTCAAACAGAATAGCCTATTGTCAACATAATTATGGAGTGTGATTTATTTTCAACTCAAAATATCTTCAAACTAATTAAATATAAAGTTATTAGTGAAGAAAATCAGTCTGATAACAGCAGACTGACTGCACATGAAATATACAACAGGTCTGGACCACACGTGAATTTTGTTCGTGTCTGAAAAAAAATTTTAGAATACAAGAAAATTGGTGAATGCGATAAGTTCTCCTAAGTCACTTGTACTCACAACTTAAGAAAAAATCTGTTCGTACAAACGGACACCAGGTTCTATTTCACAAACAGAACACCAGCACCAACTTCCTTAACTGGTAGTGGTACTTCCAGTTTCAGCAACTGGATATTTCAAAATAAGAGTCCCATTCAATACAGTCAGAACAAAGCCTTACAGATGGCATTAATATTAGTATGTCGACATTAGGCAGGTATCTTCTTTGTGGTTGTTCAAGCAAAAAGCCCACTCTGACATGCAGAAAATTGCTCTCTTCCTGTACGGGATGCTATGGCTATAAGTAGCTAATGCATCTAAAATGTGTTAAATTACGTCCTGTGTGTAAAGAGCACACACTTCCTCCCATTTCATTCTCTACAACTTTATTAAACTTTGATAGATAAACATTATGAAACTTGTTCTGGGCACTTGTATGGTCGACAACATACACGTCCAGGACTGGTACCTGCTCAGAATCCTCATGAGATCAGGATCTCGTAATTCTGACTTACCTCATAATTATAGATATTTTCTCATAATACTGAGATTTTGATCTTGTAATTATGAGATCAGGGTTCTAATTTTTTTTATTTGATGAATCCAATGCTTTTCTGTACAACCGCATACACACTTCAGATTTTTTTAATGTTAAATAGAAAGTGTATTCTGAAGTGTTGTTTTTTTCTCTCTCTCCACAGAAGATGAAGGAAATTAATTTGGATAAGTGGAAGAACATCCGTGGTCCGCGTCCCTGGGAGGACTCGAAGGAGTACCAGGAGCAGCAACGCAGGAACAGAACAGACTGAGGCTCCAGATTAAACATTCACTGCAGAGGAGCAGGAGCAGACAGCTGAGAGGCCCACAGAGAGACATCACCAACAACATTCAGTTAGCACTGCTGCTTCAGGGTCTGAACTTGACTGCTGTTGGTTTACCTTGGATCTGATTCTGTGGGTTGGGGAAATACGTTTGTTAGAAGTGGTAGAACTACAGTTTGGAAATTTATTCCATATGAGAAAACTCTGACTTATGTTTAAAAATGTTGATATTTTTATTTTTATTGTACACAAAACCAAAACCAATCTGATCAAAAGATTTTAAAAACAGCTTGCAGCAAGTGGCACCTCACCTTCCATAATGAGAAATTCATTAGATTCACCAATTCAGATGCTTATCAACACAAATTCCTAATCAGCCAATAGTGTGGCAGCAATTCAGTGCATTTAGGCATCTAAATTTAGCACCATAAGTAAGGTAAATTGTGTTTGTAGATTATTTCTATTTTGGTTCTTGGCAATAAATCTACGATTGAAAGTCCTGCTAAATTCCCTTTTAAAAGGTGCCATATGTGCGGAATGAGCAGTAAATCTGAGTATGTGGGTTGCGCACGTGAAAACTACCAAATCCTCTCTGCCATTGCCAACAGCTTTTTCTGCCATTAACTCTAATGTTTGGTGAACTTTATGGTTGAACTTTGAAGAAACAACTCTTCTCAATTTAACAATTTATTCATTTCACAAACAGGAGCCTCAGTAGCATGTGGAAGACCCATACACAGCCACAACAGCCTGGCACCACCTCCTCATGCTGGTCAACAGCTTGGTCACACACTGCTGTGGGGTCAGTCAACGTGGTTGTGTTGGCCTCTCTGGCACGAACAGCATGCCCGAACTGATCCCACAAGTGTTGAGTGGGGTTGCGGTCAGTCCACCACCCTCTGTCGGGGGGTGAGCATTGTCATCTTGGAGGATAGAGTTTGGTCCCAGACTGTGGAGGTGTGGGATTGCCACTGGTTTCAGAATTTCCTCTCTATCTCTGCACTGACTTTTCCAGTCAGACACCTGATTGGAAGCATTTTAGGGTGCTAGAAGCCCAAAATGTGTCATTAGCAACAAAAGAATGAGCTATTTGGCAGAGAAGATTTGGCAAATTTTTCATGTGCGCATATACCCACAGGACACACTGGAGGTACTATGTTTTCAGCTGGTTTGGGAACACCTTGGGATTCCCCCAGAAGAGCTGGCCCAAGTGGCTGGGGAGAGGGAAGTCTGGGTCTCTCTGCTTAGGCTGCTGCCCCCGCAACCTGACCCCAGATAAGCGGGGGCAGCAGGATGGACGGATGTATGTTTCTTATAGATGGGGCTCTATGTAAAAATGAATTTAGCAGACTTTCTAACGGCTTAAGATTTATCGGGCCAAGAAGCATCGTTACGACAAAGAAATATTATTCCAAACACAAATTTCCTATGTTTTTGTGCTAAGTTTAGTGGTGAAGAAGAAGATTGCACCAACAATTGCCCCCTGTCCTCTCCTGTTCTGATGCTTTGTTTGAATTAGAAAAGTCATCTTCACCACATGAAGATGTCCCCTTTTTGAACAGGCTAAATTGAAAGTGGCTAGCGAGCATCAAGTATAAATGTAGTATATTGTTTCAATAAACTCTATTGTCTTTCCAAAATCTCATGGATGTGATCTTTTACAATGGTATTTGCATCGATTTATCAGCTGAAAGTACAAAAAATAAATAGCTCAGCAGTTCAGCTTTTCCTCTGGCTTTATAAATCCCAGCAATAATTGTTTCTTTGACAGTTTTTGCTTTGCACTATGGTAGATTGATTGCATTTCTAATGAAAATAGGATTTTTGTGTTATTTTTGTCCAGCAAAACAAAATATTGTTGTTGTACACCCTCGGGACTTAAGGTGGGTGTGTATCTTTGTGTAAGTAACAGATAATGTATGTTTTGCCATGCCTCTTCAGCTATAAAATGAATTATAATGTTCTTCAGGTGCATACATAACTGAGATTTTCATGGGATACATTTTCTGTAATCACATTTTCTGTACATTATTTCAAAGCTGTTGCCTCAGGGGGGATTGTCAGTATGAGAATTATTTTTAAAGCAGCACTATATACATTTTATTCTTTCATTCGTGCCGTTTCTTTGCTATGATGAGCTCTAAACCCTGACTGAAACTCCTCAAACATGATTTCTGTCCAGATGTTCACACAATTGATTTTCAACTATTTTCTCAAGATTTTTTTTTTTGAGTTAAATTTAGTTATAGATCTATAATTGGTCAGAACTCCTGAATCAAGATCAGGTTTCTGAAGTAAAGATTTAATTGCAGCAACCTTAAACCTCTGGCACATAACCATCCATTAGAGACAAATTAGGCAGATACAAAATAGAGATATTAATTAGGAGCAAAACCTATTTGGTTACCAAAACAGTGTCGCCACAAGTTGATGAAATTGACATTGATGTTGCGTGGCTACACTATGTTAAAATATTGGCATATGACATACTTCCATGCTTGGCTGTGTGATATTTTCACTCTGAAGCTGAGTTAAAGTAGTAAGCTAATGGTGAACATGTGAATTTGTTAATAAACCGGCAGGCACAACAGTGATAAATTACTTTTGCGAGGGAACGCAAAAGGTATTGCGAGGTAACGCAATACTACTGTGTGGGAATGCAAAAGATTTAAAAAAATCTATGTTCTCTCGCGGACTCCGTAGAAAATGGCCGTTCCGCTAACAGAAGAATTTTATTTAACCAGCAGATAGTCTGCTAACATGTAAGAAAGCCCTTCGTAAAGTTAGAACTATTATTTATCTTTAATAGAAGAGAATAAAAACATTCTCAGGTTTCTGTTCACTGCTGTAGCTAGACTAATGAAAAGGCCTATCCCTGTAGAGCCATTTTACATGTATCCCTATAAATACTAGGGTAACAAGTAGTCACTGTGCTGTATAGTGACATGGTGTGTACATAGTGAACATGAACCACAGGAAGCGAAGGAAAGAGTTGTCTCAATAGATTAGAAAGAACATTATAGACAGGCCCAGAGCCGGCTCTTGGCATAGGCGAAATAGGCGGTCGCCTAGAGCACCATCTGCTGGAGGAGGCGCCGAACTGCAGAAGAAAAAAGGAATTGTAATCCCTGGTTGTAACTCTGCTCAGCGTCCCTTTCAATTAGCTTTGTCTTAAAAAACTATAATGAAGTATTACAGGAAAAATAAACTACTCTACCCATAAAACATTTTCTCCCCCAAAATGCAGCAATCGCCCCCCCACCCTCTCTGTCATTTGATTGACGTTGCACTGACTCGTCCTGCTCTGACACTCTGATGGGGGAGGGGCTAGTAG